TTGATGGAAAGATAAATATCTAACTTCTTTTTCATTATTTAATTTTTTAATTAATTTCTCACTTAAAGTTATATAAAGATCAAATTGAAGAAATTTTTCATTTAAATCATTTTTGTCTATGATTAATTGATCAAAATCACGTTTAATCATTCTTAATTCTTCATTAAGAATTTTAATTTGATTTTGTAACTGATCATATTGATATTTCTTTTTTTCATATTCATTTTGTAGTTCACGAATTTTCAAATCAAATTCTGAATATTTTTCATTGGTTTTTTCCCCTAATAACCGGCTGAGACGACGATCAATTGTTTGCTTTTGAAAATCTTGATGATAAATTAATTCTTGTTGTTTTAATAATTGTTGATCTAATCGATTTATTTGATTTTTCATATTATGTATTTGATTATGATATGCTTGATTGTCTATTTCATATTGTTTTTCCTGTTTATGTATGAATAATAATCTATTATTTAATAGAAACAGAGTTTCCGATAGTTTTTTATATTGATAATTTAGATTATTTTGATATTTTTGTTCATTGTCCATTAGTTTTTCAAATTTAGATAATTTTTCATCAATTGAAAATTTTTCATTTAGTATAATATATTTTCGATCGAGTATTTGTTCATGACGTTGTTTGAGTTTTTCAAGTCTAAAAACGAAACAAAGACAAGTACGATTTAATAATCTTGAATTCTTACTCTTGTTGTTTCTTCATCATAGTTGTTTTTAATTCATTGATTAAATTACGTGCACGTTGTAATTCATTTTCTGTATTTACAAGAGCAGTTTTTATTGAAAAAACCTAAGCAAGAATATTGATATGAATTCAAATTGACCTTTTTTTTTTTACTCAGAAATTTATAAACAGTTTTGTACCGAGCGTGGAGTCCAAAGAGCGACGCCTCTCTCGAAGTTTGTGGTTATTCTACACACACTACAAAATTTTGAATTGTTCCTTCAGAAGAAAAAGTCTAGGTGAAACATTGCTTATAAGAATAGGACTTGTACAATCAAAATAAAGAATAGTCTTCGAATATAAAGTGGTTCAAACGGATATATGATTTTAATATTATCGTAAAAATCTAATTTATATCTTGACAAAAATGACTGTGCTTTACTACAAGACAAAGTAAATCTTAGGAGGACCTGAAGGTTTTAAAACTTTCTTTCGGGTGTAACTTAAAAGAAGCATTGCTTAAATATAGAGCGGGATAAGTAGCTCGTCTCGGAAACTCGACACATTGAATAAAGAGTTTCAGACATGTCTTTTTCTTCTTCAAATGATATATTATTGATTTCTATATGCTAATAAACGAGATCCATCAGGTTGTATATTTAAACGCATAAGAACTTCACTCAATATAACTATAAAGTATAAATTGCATTCTTTTCAATTGGAAGTTAATCTAAACATACACATAAAGATAGCAAGGATAATATATCATTAAGACAATCTTTTGTTTTTGGATACATAGAAGAAATATTAACATTCACATAACTCTGACAGAACTCATATTATTGTTTGTCTGTGCATGGAAAGAATGTATCAAGATCATAAAACCCATGGAAACTCTAACTAGGCATGCATCAAGCCTGAACTATGACTCAGCGTTCAGATTCGCGTATTATCCAATCAGTTTAGATAGTATCGATTATTTTGATAATGACTCAAGCGATGGGTCCGGAAATTTTAGACTCAATGAACTCTAGTCGCCCGAGAAATATAAAGGGTACCCTAATCACCGAAAATAAAAATTGAAGAAAAAGTTTCTTGTATCTTCGGAACGACCGTCAAATTGCGATCAGAAAACCGAAGTACCCTTCAATCGGATTTGAATACTCTGAGCATTATTGACTTCGTTTTTTTTAGTATTCTTGCAGACTTTCGGCTTTTAAATCATTTATTCCACTGTGTTTAAATCTACCATAAATAAGTCTCAAATCCTTCGTTTCGTCTTACTTCTACTTTCTTTTATGAATTGACTGAAAATGATCACAGTCAAGACTGAAGCTGAACGTTCGAGTTCAGTGCGTACCTAATCATAGCTCTCGAAAAAAATTAAACAAAATTTTCTCGAATATTTTGCTCTTCAGCTAAAGACGTCAGGAAACATCAAATATCAAATAACTTACATCTGTTTTCAAATGTTCCTGTTTGTTATTGTTTGTCATTTGTTTTACTTTTAATGACATTATTTTTTTATTTGCTAAATAAATCATTTTTTCAGTAACACTATTATTTTTTTGCTCGTGTTCGTAGAATATTTTCTGTTGATTTAATTCTTGTTCTTTAACACGTGTTTTAGCTTTGACTTGAATAAGTTCCTAAAAAAGAATTTATTTAAAACTATTATTATTGATTTATAATATATTCGATAAAATTACAATTGCAAGTCTATCAATATCATAATCTTTTCGTTGCATTTGTTCAAGAATTGTTTCCCATCGTTTAATAAGTTGTTGACGTTGCATATGAGAACGACGAAATGTGTCAGCTATTTTATCTAATTCAACTTGAAGACTATAATATTCGATTCTTCTTTCTTCAACAGCGCGTTTTAATTTTATTGATTTTTCTGAATCTCGTTCCATTTCTGCAGTTAATTCCTTTCAACGAATAAAGAACATCTTACATTTGAACTTTAAGATCCTATGTATATTTTACTTTGATGCGAATATTATCTTGTTGTGTGTATTTCATTAGACAAAATGTTTCATCATCATTTTTCTTAATAACATCAATTAATTTTTCCAATACATCTTTATCAATTAATGTTTCATTGTTAATCTTTTCTATTTCTAACTGTAATTGATTAATTTCTGTCTAATATGAATGTTTAAAGTACAGATTATAAGAAAAGAAATTTCGAACATAAAAACCTCAAAATTTGTTTGTCGTTTTCGAAATTTAATCATATCATTTTCCAGAATTGTTATTAATCCTTCGGTACGTTGTATTTCAGCCATATCAATATCTAAATGTGTTTGTTCAGTTGTTTCTTCTCTTCGATGTGTTGCTAATAATCTCTATTGATAATTGAACGTTTCATAATAGATGAGATTCAAATTAATCATACAGTATCGGTAATGCAAAATTCGAGAAACGTTTGTTTCTTTTTGTTACAGCTGGCTGGATAGAACTCATCGATGTACTTGAAAAATTTTGCTTTCGACGCATTCGATCGATAGTTTTTGTAGGAAATATTAAGCTTTAAGTACCAGAAAACCATATCGAATTGACATAAGTCAAAAGCATCGGCTTGGGAGCCTTAATATTTATTCAAACTCTTTTTGATTTTATTTGTCATATGACTACGAAAAAAATGGTGCCGGGTTTTTGAAAATTATTGTTTCATTGTAGGGAAAATCAATATTTTTCGGTATGACAGCAAAACGTCATGATTGTAGAACTCACTCAGTGTGTCATTATATCCTGAAAAGAAAAATGCCTATACGTCGATCTATATTAAATCAAGATGTCAAAGAAAAATAGGGAGAAAATAATTTAAATAAAAGAGGTATGTTTCATAACAACTGTTGATACGAAAATATCACATAAAATTAAAAGGATGTTCATGCTAAGTTGAAGCAGTTTTTTTTAAATTGTTTCATTGCTTTAATTCAATGATAACTGAACATTTTTGTCAAAAAGGTTTGACATCTCCTTGTATCTTATATAGCAGAGTAATATCCCAAAAAATCAAGTGAAAATCTTTCTCCACTAGAAAGAAAGTTCAATTTTACTAACAAAGCATCGAGTGACGTTTTTTGAAGTAATTATACACTAAGACTGATTGATTTATAAAAATACCATATAATAATTGCCTCTATAGCAACAGCTGTTCAACAATATTATCATTTTTGGACTTTCATTAACATTCGAAAAAGGTATCGATCGTTAACTTGAAAAGATTTTCAATGAAACAATGGGCTTATCAATCGTTATCATTTCATAATTACCACAGCGTTGAGAAATTTCATTAAAATAAACAATATGCATGCCGATTCAAACGTCGGCACAGTCGAGTTTTTTTTGTCAAACTGTACAATGGTTGTGTTCTTCACTCAAATACTTGTTCATATTCAGGCATTTCAATCTGAGAACATTGGTTTTCTCATCAATGAAGCTATATTTTTCGAAAATCATGCGCAGTTTTTTTTTCTTAATTGTATGACGAATAGGAGCAAAAAAGGTTTGGATGAATATTAAAGGTACCGAGGCTTGATACTTTTTGCTTATTTCAATGTTTTAGGCTATTCTGCTATTTTTAATTTAACTTTCCCTACAAAAACCACTGTTCGAATATGTGTAACCAAAATTTTTTAGAGCGAACTCGACGAACTCTATTCAACTGTAAAAAAAACAACAAACGTTTCACAAATTTCGATTTGCTAGTATCTTGGTCACCTGTATAGTTTCCAGTTCATCTTTTACTAATTTTTGATGATCTTCAAGCATTTGAATTCGATCACTATTTTCAACAATATCTAATTGTAAAGATGTTAATTCTTTCATTTTTGCTTCAACATTTTCTTCTAATAACTTATTTTCTTCATTGCTTAATGCAGATGGAATACGTGTATCCGTAAATTCATCATGAAAAAGATTCATATTTCGAAACCATTCGGATTCTTGTCGAAAATCCATGTTCTTCTTAATTAACGTTATATTTCTTGTCCTTTTTGTTCAGATTTCAACTAAGCGCGCCAATCATTTTTATTACGATGCAATTAAAGAGAATATCATATCATAACGTATATCTCGGAAATCCGGAATTCTTATATGACTTTATCTTAGTTCTAAGCAGATGAAACCATCATTCAAAATATTTCCGTCTTAAGTTTCTTATTTATTCATCTAATGATTTATTTTAAAAAAAGACTACAACGAGAAGAAAAATTTATTTCTGAACGAACAAAAAATATTGACATATATTGGTGTCTTTTGGTACAAATATACATCTTAATATTCTCTTGCTTTTCCATAATTAATGTTATAAGTGTTGAGCCACAGTTACAGATGCAATATCCATAATACTAGATGGCCTATGTCGACGTAACTTTTGTATAATTTCAGGTGCAAGAAATAAAGCTGCCATGGGTACACACATTTCACATAGATAACTTGAAAAATATAAATAATTTTCAATGCTACTAAAAACAAATGGAACAGATTGAGACAATATAGTAATTAATGAAACGATTGATAGAGGTAACCAAACAAACATATACATAGAAACAATGCCTAACAGTTGTACAATCATTTTCCAATTTTTTGACCAATTTCTTAAATTTCTTTGCATTTCACGTCGTGTCCATAAAACACGTATGAGTAAAAGAAGTGATCCAAATATAATTACAAACACTGGAAATAATATATTAAATATCCAATTAAATGTTGATAAACCACTCAGGTTATCAAGGCATTGAGTACCGCATAAATGTGCATAATACTGTGGTTTATTACGACATGTATAAAGGAAACTATTGAATAGATAGAATAGAATTAAATATATATATATTAATATAAGTGGTGCATAATGAAAAATCAATCGTTTTCGTTGAGAACGAAGAAGATTTGGATAAAATACAAGAATATATCGTTCAAATGTAAATATTGCCTTAGACCAGATAACAAGACTAGTGAATGAATAATCAATAAATTGCCAATAATAACAAAAACTTTGAGTTTGAATTCCAACATAACCACGAGCATAAAAACTATCAATAGACAAAAGAAAATAAATCCAACAAAATATACTTAATTTTTTGTATTTAGTCAGTTGAAGAAATATGGACAGTTTCGGGTCAGCAAACTTGGGAAAATTTTTGGAACTTGAAAAGAGGAACTCGACGCTCACCTATGCTTAGGACTAGAATAATCCGGACATCAGATTTCCACTTTCAAGTTTCTACCATTTTTCCGAAGTTTTTCAGTTGGAAACGGTGTCTTTACGGCGGGCTCCTGTCAGAAATTCTCGGATCCAGATATCGGAATGCTTCACCTGGATAGAATTCTTTTGTCAATCGAACGAAGGCGTTTAGTTATATGAATTAACTGATTTCAACACAAAATTCTTTTATCTCTATAAGAACATACCTCATTGTTATTGAAATATTCAAAACTATATCCAATAAAATAATACAAACAAGAATAATTAATGTTTGATTTTGAAATCTTTTACGAAATGTTGGAATCCTGATAACATTATAGATAAAATATAGAGCACATATAGTTGATGGTATAGCAAATAAAAGTAGCATACTAAATTTAATAAAGCGTTCTCTAATTGAAAAAGAAGTCTCATTCATCTCTATTATGTGTTTAAAAGTGTTCATTTCTATCATTCACTGATCAATCGCAAACACTTTTAAGTTTCAATAGCAAAATTATGGAACCAAAACTAACAGTTGGTAATTTCTCGCATGAGTTTTATATTACAATAATCACTTGATCTTTTTACAAAAAAAGAAAAAATATAACTCCGTAATTGAAATAAAATATTTTCACTACAGTAAATTAGACAGAAAAGTCATTGATTTTTTTATTATAACATAATTAATTTTAATTAATAGTTTTAGTTGAAGAACATTCTAGCCGTTTTCTTACATCAAGTGATTCTAATATTAAAGCACTAGAAAATGAATTTCTACTTCACATACAGTAAGGAGACTACAGGCTTATCAGAATATTAAACATGATGATAAGAGACACGTCTAGAGAAAAAAAATTATTAGTTTAATTATGCTTGACAGACATTCTACAGTGTTGTAAATAGAAGTAGAAATACGAGGCTCTGTTCTTTCACTTTATGGTTTCTTTCGATTCTGTAACTGGAAAAAAACAACTAGGTCTGCTGTTATACGTAGACATTAAGATCAAAGATCAAAGATCATATTCTTTTGTTTTCTGTACTATTGAATATGACTATGGAATTAAATTATCGTCCTTGTAATTTAGCATATTACACAACTTGGTGGTTACCTTCAAAGTCTTCAACTTCAATTCAAACGACAACATTATCAGCTCATAAGTCACTAAAATCTGACGATGAATCTATCACTAAGCAACAGGTATTTATTCATTATAGTATGTATCTATATTCTATCAAACTCATTGTTTTAGAATATCAATCAAGATGAATCACAATCAAATTGTTGTATGCCAATTATGAAATGTCGAATAAAAAGATGACTATTTAATATCTATTATACGAGCTATTAGCATTGAATGATTTCAATTAGTTTAGTTTATTGTATTATAAAATAAGAAATAAATTTGAGCATTATTAATTTATATCATAAAATGAGTCATTTTAACAATTCATAAGTGACAATAACCTAATGGTATGATTAAGGAAAAAAAACCTATAGAGAATTCAACACCTCGTAATTTTCCTCGAAAGAAGACATGCATCAATACTCGTTATATTCTAAAATTTTATAGAAAGAACTTGGATAATTTCGACAGGAAGCTGAGCCTTTCTTCACTAATTCTAGTAAGATAATCGATCACTATTATTATCCTAGAGAGATGACATAATTATGAGTTTCTTTTGTTGGTTGAAAATTTGATTTTCTTTAAAAATCAAAATTGAATGGTTTTCTTAATTATTCATTGATGTTGATTTCTTTCTATGTGGGTAGAAGTTACTTCTATGTATCATATGGTCATCCTAAAAAAGAAAGAACTTTCATTTTTCTATTCATTTCATAGACTACAGTTTCACATTCAATAGGACGCATTAGTAGTAAATGTACTAATTAATTATTTGTTTCAATAAACTGTTCATCGATTCGTTTGATGCAAGTTAAATTAAATATTTTGAGAGAAAAATAATAGTCATGTCTTATTACACATTGATTCATTGACTAGAGATTGTTTCTGTATCTTAATGCCATGATGTTGTTATTTTACTTCTTGATAGTAATTGCGAAGTTGTAAAACAGTGATGAGAATTGGCATTATCCACAAAAAACGTCTAGATATAAAGGAGGAAAGAGTAAGCAAAAATTGCACATATCCGAACAGGCAGTTTGAACGAGTAAAAAATGCGACTTTTACATAGATGTATCTTATGAACTACCCTATTTATAGGATTAGTCTATACTTTATTGCCACGACAATAGAATATCCATTCATCACATCAGCTAAAAGCACTACAGCAATGAGAAAATGAATTGTCTGAAAACAAGCCTTCATTTCAATGGTAGATACGTGTATTAATATTGCTTCTGGTATAAGCATATGGTTATTGATTATAGTGAAAAAGAATGAGAAAAATCGATAATCACTATAACCAATGGACTGGAGATGAATACTTGTATAAATCGAATAAAGAACAATTTATAGCCTTAATAAACTTCCAATATGGAATAACCATATGGGAAGTGTATTCTTTTATTTTTTGGAATAATTCGACTAATATCTCGTCGTATTTTCGAGCAATACAAAGTAGAGAAGGGACTGGTTCAATTCGTGACTTTTCAAAGCGATCTTGGTTGCTGTTCGGCTTAAATTTTGAAAAATCTGAACTAATCCCATCTCTGATAAAAAATTTTTGTGTTGAATATTTTTTATCAAGTTATAGGCTAAAAAACATAGTGTGACATGGTCGCTTAGAACGAGTATGCGATGTCAGCGAAAACTAATGTAAAAGTCGTAGCATTAGAACGGAACATAGGCTTCTTAAGATCAATACACTAAAAATTAATTCATAAGAATAACGGGAACCTTGACAACAAGAATCCAATTGCTATTTTTATTTCAATAAAATTTTAAGATTTCTGTTCATGAACTTCACAATCAATATTTCTTATATGATGTGAATTGATATTATGTTTCGATTTCAACTGATTCTATGGAATTTTTGCAACTTATCTAATTTCCTGTCAGAAATTTTCTAATCTTTTCATTGTCAAAAATTCTGCGGAAATTGAAAACCTGTCAAAACTGAAGTGGAAAAATTCCGATTTACGATTTCAAATATAAGTATGCAACAAACTCAAGAAATGTTATTAACGTGACTTTCTGACAACCATATTATCGTATAGAATATCTATTTTAGCATATTCACTAATTATTTTAAAATTTTGTTGTTCTTCAATAAACTTGGTTTTTCTTTTATTTGAATGTTTACTTGATGATTTTGAAGAGGCAAATAAAAATTTAATAGATTATGTTTAACTAATTTTTATGGAATTAAGAAAGATAATTTTCCTTGATCGCATCGAATTAAAAATGATCCTATTCTAGAACATATATCGAATAGTTTTCTAAAATCTCTACTTGAAAAATACACGAATGTAGTATAGCCGAAATGCTTTTCACGATGATTAATGATTCGAAAACCAACGTATTCCATTGGAAACTAGAACCGATTGCATTTATCAATTATTATTTAGGTACGATTGCCCATGCTCAACATATTTATTGTATTGAAAACAAGTTTTTCAATCCACAAAGTATTAAGAAGGCTATCAGTATAAGTAGATAAACAACTCCTGATACACTATCAGTCATGTGGCTTAATATTATGAATCGACTGATGAAAGACAAATGTATATGGAATTATTGCTAGTCTCGATCGATAGAAAATAACTAGAAAATTATTACCTTTAGAGCTAATTATCATCGTTTTTCATCATTGAGAAAATGACGCTACACATAGAGCTCGCCGTGTTGGATCCGAACTCATTTAGATATAGGAGACATGTGTAGTTTACACTAATCATCGAATGCACGAAACCGTAAAAATGGATGCCGCATATTTTCGAGGTAACTATTCAATTTCGATCACATTTCTCGCAAATTTAACAATTAATACTTAATGAGACATGGAGCAATAAAACCGACGATGGTTGGAATACAGTGGTAATCATACCATTGAATGTTACTTAAAATACTCTTTCACATACTTTTCTTGCTGATTGGAGTTTGGTTATTCAAAGAAAATTAGCAAAATTACTATTACTTCGATTTTTTGGAAAATCTTACAATTGTGAATATTATAATTCATATTATCACTTACAAGTTTATTAGTTTTTTTTGTAACTTACCTTTCTGTCACTATATCCAGGGACTTAAAAAATGACCAAAATTGTATTGAAATGATGAAACGGAAGAAAACATGCATGTATTTCAAATTCATTGATTAAAATGAACATTTTCATCAATTTAATGCCGTGATTGTAAGTACAAATCAGAGTCATGGAATTAAATTGATGAAAATGTTCATTTTAATCAATGAATTTGAAATACATGCGTGCTTTTGTCTGTTTCATGATCCAAGATGCCATTTTTTCATGTTTTTGATATAAAATTCATGAAAATCATGAAATTTTTTTCAGTTTTTAAGTTCCTGGGCAAGAATCAATGAAGGCTTTTTACGATCAGGTCTTATACCAACTGTGTTGTAATTTCTTTCTCTTATGGCTCATATAAGTCTGCGTAAAATACAAATAGGAAGTGCTCATTGATCAATTAAAATCATTGAATTAATTTAATCACTTGCTCATGGCAATGCCGATATAGATTTAATCAACTGGTCAAATGTTCAGGAGTCTTCGATGTGCTTAAAATAAGTTTTTGAAAAATTCTAAGAAAGATGTGAAAATTATCATTCCTTATCATACTTTTCCAGTTTCACTTGACTTTGTGAGTGCTTTTACTACCAATTATTACTGACGATCGATTATCAAATATTTGGCAAAATTATGCTACATAGATGAGCTGAAGTTATTTTCGATTTCATCACAAAGAAGATTAAAATGCACTAGCTATGAACTAGCTTAATCTTGCACGTAAATTCTTAAAAAGGAGATTATATTAGGATGAAAATTTGCAGGTAACATAAATTTGAATATTTTCTCACAATCTGAACAAAATGTGATTTTCTATAATGTGTCATCAGATAGCTAATTATATATTGCTCGAATATTTAGTTCCGATTTATAGGACTTTAGATACGCTGTTGAAAAAAAGAGTTGCAATGAATAATTTCGCTCCTAAGCGCGAGCTAGAGCGACAGAGAACTTCTCTGTTCCGTTCTGGGTCTCATTAATTTACGTTCTCTTTTTGCAGTTCAATTTGGTCATCTGTTGACGAAGATGCACGTTTCACGAGGTGATAGAGATGCGGTAGAAAACTGCTTTTGTCACCATATTCAAAATTTATTCTCATCTCTATTTCAAGCTTGATTCTCGCTAAGCTCTGTATTCTGAAGCGATTTCGAAATATGGTTTTCGTTTCTAGCATGGGTTGA